CGTGAGGGCTGTGAGGGCGGTCAGGGCCGTGAGGGCCGTGAGGGCGGTGAGGGACGTGAGGGCCGTGAGGGCCATGAGGGCCATGAGTGCGTGAGGGGCGTGAGGGGTGTGAGGGCCGCAAGGGCGGTGAGGGGCGCGAGGGCGGTGAGTGGCGTGAGGGCGGTGAGTGGCGTGAGGGTGGTGAGTGGCGTGAGGGCGGTGAGGGCTATGAGTACGTGAGGGCCGTGAGGGCGGTGAGGGCCGTGAGGGCGGCGAGGGCGGTGAGGGCCGTGGGGGCGGTGAGGGCCGTGAGGGCGGTGAGTGCGAGAGGCCCCCTTCAGATCGAGCATCTTTCTCAGCAATTTTGGTGTTAATAGCGGGTTGTTCTCTAGCTTTCCCTAGATCGACACGAATTGCTGAGATCGGGTCCGGCTCGAAATAAGCAAGCAACTCGGAGCAATTCGAATACGTTTGAAGCGGCTGCATCCAATCAGGAACGCAAAATTTCCACGTGATACCTCATGCCGGTGATGACGACACCGAAAGACTTGGTTCTGGTTTGAAATCGATCGTTTTTTGGAAATAAACTGTTTCAGAAGGTGCATTAGTATTCTTAACGAGGTTTAAATGCATAAAAACACGTTTATAACGCGTAATTGTGTCTATATAGTGCAAGAAAATAAAATGTTATGATGACGATGGCAAATTGCAGCAATTGGTTGCTGCGTGTGATCGCGGGCGGCCCGTGTTGCTGGTGTTGCAACGTAAAGTTTCTGAGCGAAACCGTTCCATCTGAAGCTGGCCTGAGTGGCGTGAGGACCATGAGTGCGTGAGGGGCGTGAGGGGTGTGAGGGCCGCAAGGGCGGTGAGTGGCGTGAGGGCGGTGAGTGGCGTGAGGGCGGTGAGTGGCGTGAGGGCCGTGAGGGCGGTGAGGGCGGTGAGGGCGGTGAGGGCGGTGAGTGGCGTGAGGGCTATGAGTGCGTGAGGGCGGTGAGGGCGGTGAGGGCGGTGAGGGCGGTGAGGGCGGTGAGGGCCGTGAGGGCGGTGAGTGGCGTGAGGGTGGTGAGTGGCGTGAGGGCCATGAGTGAGTGAGGGGCGTGACGGCCGTGAGGGCGGTGAGTGCGTGAGGGCCGTGAGGTTCAGAGAGGGTGAGTGAAGGGCTGAAGGTGAGTGTGACTGTGAGGGTGAGGGTGAGTGAGGGGTTGAAGGTGAGTGTGACTGTGAGGGTGAGGGTGAGTGAGGGGCTGAAGGTGAGTGTAGCTGTGAGGGTGAGGGTGAGTGAGGGGCTGAGGTCAGTGTGGCTGTGAGGGTGAGGGTGAGTGAGGGCGACCAAAAAATGCCGACCTCTGGTTGGGCGACGCCCCGCCCAGTACCTTCTCCGCCCCTTTGGCTGAGGCTGGTCGCGGACGGGGCATGGCGCCCCATTCCCCAAACCTGCCCAAACCTGCCTTGAGGGTTCATAATGATTAAAAAGCGCAACAGGACAACGGAGAGAAAGGAAGACACATATGCTCCTGAGACGAGGCCTTGAAGGCCTTGTCTCAGGAAACGGAGGCCATGGATGTTAAGAGAAGTCGTCACTCATGCGTCTGACCAGTGGCAGACTCTTATTAAAGGGACACTGACAGGGTATTTATGCTCGCCGAGGTTTTTAGTTTTACATGACATACGAGAGCCCAACTACCCAGAACAGAATTTGCGGCTTGAAATAGACTTCTTCCGATACCGACGCGCCCCATCGCGGCGAAATACCACGTAGTGCACTCTGGGAACTAGTTGGCCACTCAGTTTCGGTTTCGACTGAGCAGCTTCATCTCATGCTATCACGCCGCGACCGAACGCGCTGCTTGCGTTTTCGATTATCTAACTTTTTACAAATGTACAATACACTCATTCTCGAGCGATACAAAACAAAGACCGGCGCACTTTCCTTGGTTCCCGAAACACCGGATATTGTGTGTGCGTATGCAAACGTAGTAAGACGTGGCTGAGTCACCTCACCCCACCAGTGCATCTTTGAGCTCGTGTCAGTAATCCCGTCTAGTACCAGTGAACTACAACTGAAATTTGGTCACCTTGAGCCCTAAACGTATTTTGTTTGCCAAGCGTCCGCTTCTTGTTACTTCATTGGGCGAAAAGCAAGCCGCATCCTCACAGGAGTATCAAAGTTGAGCCAGCGTTGGCGCATTAACTTTTAAGGAAAGCCATAAATTCGACCTCACTACTGCACAAAAGTTGCTATGATGCCTTCCTCGGGTCATCACATATCTCACACTCAAATTTTATGCTGATATAACATTAACTTTTCGCAAACGCTGAGATCGGCTAGCTACGACGGAGGCCCCAACAAGCGTCCCCTACTCCTCTCTAAGCCTTTTTGGACGACCTTTTACTGACGCCCAAGATCTGTGCCTGAACGGTGAGTCTGAAATTATCTCGGCATACTCAGTGAGGAAGAAAGCAAACACATAACAAATATTATGGCCATTAGCAACCGTCAAATGCGCTTTGAACAATTTCGTTCGTTTTGAGCACCGGGGTTCATGCCCGTCCGCGGCGTACTTCCACCGAATGGTGCGACATTCTTCACACAAGTGTTCGACTTTTGCTTTCTTTAAACTGTTTGTATGTGCGAATGCGCCTATATGATTGCAGGATAACTTTATGCGTATACGCGATGTTGAATATTAGTGAAATGCAAGCGGGTGGGGACTTCACGAATTCGCGCAGTGCTGCGTGGCAGTACAGATAAGCGATGAGAAGTGTGTTCAAATAGAGCTTTTCAATAGTGCCTCCGAGTTTTACCTCGCGTACTCAGGCGTATTAAGAAAAACAGTAATTGTAAAAAGTTATATTTCGTCTATGCACGCACGAAACAAACAAACTTTCTGAGCAAGAACACTAATGTAAAGGCGCGAGCTCGGTGTATGCATACTTACTGGAGTCTACAGCTTGTGGATTAGTACACAAGTACAGTGGCTACAAGGAGAAGTGTGACGAGCGCCAAGCAGGTCCTATGGGAGGCCTTGAAGCCACCGGGAAGGGATCCGCGTGGGGGCGCTCGCGCTCACTTACACGTCGCCCGTCCAACCGGAGGCCGTCGCTCGCCCCGTCGCCGCAGACTCAATCCGTTTTGATCGCCTTTGGATGCCGAAGTTGAGCTCGCTTTTAAACTATTCAGCCCCCGTGCTGGCTATGTGTACTCATGCCTAGGAAGCAAAGCAGTAGTTTTGTGCCCGGGTGCACGACCGGTTACAAATCGTGCAAGAAAAAAACTTTCTCTTTTTGGTGTGCCCAAGGATGAGAGCGCGTTCGCTCAGTGGCAGCGTGCGATTCCCCGCGCTGACAAGCAGCTCGAGAAGCACTCCTCCGTGTGCGAACTTCACTTCCATGAAAGGTACGTCTCCAGGCACTTTGAACTGGTGGTGAATGGAGAACTTGTTCGGATAGACAGAAGCAGACCTGTGTTGCTTCCCGGGGCTGTGCCTACGCAGTTTCCGAATCTCCCGAAGTATTTGTCAAAGCAACTGCCCCCGAAGAGAAAATTGCCAGCAAGGACTGAGTGCCCAGCTCCTCCAAGGAAGAAGCGTGTGGGAGACGTTTGCCCCCCTGCAAGTGTCGACTTCGGAGAAGTTTCCTCCTGCACACTTTCATTTGAAGACCTGGCTTTGCCGCCTTGTGCGTGGGGGAAGCACACGTTAAGTGTTTCACCCCTGACTGTTGCATACAGCGTATGCCAAACCGGACGAGATAAAAGCGTCCTGTTAGCAGACAAGTTGATTGTGTTTTCTCGAGAGGCGAACGGCGTGAGACAAGACGTGTTCATAAAGGGAGTGCGGCAGTTGGAGGACATGTGTGATGATTCTGACCTCCTTCTAAGGAAGGTTGATGCCATGAAGATTTGCGCCGGTGCGGGAAGGATCGACGAATTTCCCTTTTTTGTGGGCAATGCGAAGTTTGTGATCTCGGATACCACCATTTCAAGCCTGAAGTGCCAAGGAGTGACCAGCGACTGCAAGCCATGTATTTCATGCAAGCATCTTAGAAAGGCCCTGCTGAACCGGCGATGCGCAAGGAAACTGCGCCATCACAACCAAGCAGCGCGCCTCTCAAGAAAAAAGAGGACAAAAGCGCAGGCAGTTCGACGGCTAAAGGTCAAGCTCTCACTGTACGAACAGACAATTCAAAAGCTTAAGAAGCAAAGTGAAGAACTAGAAGAAAGTGTACTGGCAGACCGACTGAAAACTCTGCCACCCAAGCAGAGACTTGCTGTGATGCAGTGTTTCCATGCTGCACGACGCAAATCTGCAAAAGGAATGAAGTACAATCCTGATTGGCTTCTGGAATGCATCATCATGAGAATGAAAAGCCCGAGGCTCTATGAGCATGTCAGAAGAGAAGGCATACTGATGCTTCCAAGCAGAACCTGCCTAAAGGTATACATGCGTAGGTACAAGAGTGGGTTTGGGTTCAACCCTGCCATCTTGGCAGGAATTGCAAGAAAAACAAAAGACATGGATGATTTCAAGTGTCATGGCGGTCTGATCATCGAAGAAATGAAATTATCCGAGTGCTTCAGCGTTGGCTCAGGGGGGAAAGTAGAAGGACTCGTGGACTTGGGGAAGTTCACGCCTGAAAGTGACAAACATGTTCCTTGTGATCATGGTCTCGTCATCACGTTTCAGCCCCTGACAGGCTCATGGCACCAAATCCTGGGTGTATTCGCTTCCAAGAGAAACGTGAAGGCCATGCTTCTTTCGAAGATCATCATGGAGGCTGTATTGCTTGCTGAAAAAGCAGGGCTAAAGGCAGACTTCATCACGTCTGATGGAGCCTCATGGAACCGCTCGATGTGGAGACTATTCAGAATCTCGGGGTCATCAACCTCCATAACGCCATCCGTGTCGCATCCCGTTGTGAAAGGAAGACGCCTTTTTTTTTTTTTATATCCGACTTTCCCCACTTAATTAAGTGTGCAAGGAATGGCTTTATCAAAGCTGGCTACAAGACACCTGAGGGTTCTGCTTATGTGGAGCACATCAGAATTGCACACAAGCAGGATAAATCTGCGACAACACTGAAAGTGATGCCAAAGATTACTGCGTCTCATGTGAACCCAAACAACTTTGAGAAGATGAAGGTCAACCTTGCATTTCATCTATTCAGCGGGGAAGTCCTTCGTGGCCTTTTCTTCTACAAGAATGAGATAACCAGCAGCTGGAGTGATCCTGCACCAACACAAGCGTTCATACTCTTGATGGTGAAGCTAATTCAAGCAATGACAGCACGGATCCCATCGCAAGGACTGAGACCTGGTTCTTCACAAGAGAAAGATATCAAGGATGCTCTGGAGTACCTAAACAAGTGGGAAGCTTTCTGTGAACCTTCCAAGGCTGGATTCCTGTCTGGAAGCACTGCCGAGGGACTAAGAGTTACTCTGCAGGGTACTCTGGATCTCCCGAAGTATGTCAACGAGAAACTTGGTTTTAAATACTTGCTCACAAGCCGTCTCAGCCAAGATTGCATTGAGAGGTTGTTCGGCATCATTCGACAATTTTCAGGATGCAATGACAACCCCACGGCAACCCAGTTCTTGATCACAGTGAACTGTCTAAGCTTCTACGACTTGGTGAAAGCACCAAGCAGTGGCAACTGCGCGGGAGGGTCTCTGACATCTCTGCTTGGAACTGAGACAAAAGCTGGTTGTGAAGTGGACAAATTGCTCGATAAAGGCAGGCTGGAAGAAGCATCAACAGCCTTGAAAAAATCATCACTCGTCCCTGACCATGTGTGTCCTGAGAAGACAAGCGATGCTCGACTCATCTTCTACGTTGCAGGGTATGTTGCAAGAAAAACAGTACTGAAAACTTCATGCAACGACTGCTTTGATGATCTCCTGGTATGACCAGAGAATGCCAACAAAAACCTTGCAACACTCACAAAGTTCTGCGACAATGACGGGCTTCTTTACCCCTCGGAGAAGCTCTTTTCATTTGTGGAGGCCCTTGAGGTCACCTTTACCATGTGGTTCAGTTACAACGAACTGCACCAGGATAGTGTGGCTGACCTGACTTCTTGTCTGCGGTGGAGTCGCATCTCAGTTGGCTGTACGCAGCATTGTGCTGTTCTGACCAATCAAATCACAAAATTCTATCTTATTACTCACCTGCACTTCTTCACGAAGTCCCTGAACAAGAAAAAAAGCGTCTTTGCGCGCAAAGAAGAAGTACCTGAAGCTTCGGCATGTCACATAGACATTTCTACTGTGACTCAAGATAACATTTCAAAGTGTTTTTTCATGATTTCCTTTTGTTTTATGTTGAGTTCGCACGGCGGTATTATTGCTTCAATATAGAGTATGTTTTCATCCACTTTTGTGTTTACCTGACAACTAAAATAAAAGCGAAATACCACAATTATAATTAATGCAGCCCTAGTTTAAGGTTAAAAAAAATAGGGGCAGACGGAAAGCCGTCTCAACATTCATCGGACATTATCACTACAAAGGCGTATTTTTTCACGTGCTCACGCTCTACTCATAAGGTAAGGCAAAGCATAGTGATCAGTGACTCTACTTATTCAAAATATCACGGTTGGCAAAATATTTGCAAATTTTACGTAGTCGAACACATTTCCCCATGTTCCGAGCCGTCGATATGTGCCCGCAAGTCGTGATATTTCACTAATACCTTTTGTTCAAAATTAGAAAATGATACTCCCGACGCTCAGTTTCAGTAACTACGAAAAAGACACTCCATTTCTATTATATGGTGAGACATATGGAGGCGTAATCAACTAAAAACGCAGCATTATCAATGGTGCCTCTGCGCGCCGCTAACGTGTATAAATGCCGCAGCGCCATCTACTTTTTCCCTGGCGAAGTGCCACGCCTGAGCCGGCGCGCTCGCCACACTTCTCCTTGCAGCCACTGTAAAGGCCCATACGCACATTCGCGTTTGAGCGCGGTGCGTTCCGTAGCGGCAAGCGGGCGCGTTGCGTTGCGAAGACGGCTTGCGCCAAACTTGTACGCACAGTTGCGTTGACACGCAGTCAACCGCAGTCAAGAGCCAATAAGAACGCGCTATTGTCGCTAGTGGCTCACCAATAGTAAGCGAAATCCAAGGCAACATGGCGGCGCACGGCGACAGCGTCGAAGTGTTCGATCTTGGGAGAATCTCGCCGGCTTCCCCGACGTTTTGTCAAGCTTGAACCATCGCAGCCTGGGAAAATACAGTCCCCACCGCTCCCCAAAACGAAAAGGCAAGCACTGCGACCGGCAAACCGGATACGTCTCGCGTTTCGTTGGACTCGCGGGTGGCAGCGGACGACGGGCGTGGGACCTCTACCTCAGAACTGTCGTTCACGGTACCGGCGAGTTCTGTCTTCCCTCAAAAGAGAAATTTTGAACCGATCAAAAGAATTGATATTCATCCCGTACGACACACCCGACCAGCAAGCCGATTGTACGAAGACGTCGCCGAGTACTTCGAGTTGAATACGCACGCGTACGGTTTCTTTACTAGGTGCGAATGTGGCCAATCCGCGGTGCTGCCTGACTTGAAGCCGGGAGTGCATGTGCGGGAGAGAAATCGGCAGCAAACTTTCCGACATAAGTCGACCGGCTGCATTACTACAAACGAAAGAGCTCCTTCAGTAGCTCAGTAGAAAGGCGTCCGCTTCACGCGCAGCGGGCATGGGTTCGATCCCTAGTGTGGGCGTACCATTTTTTTTTCCCAAACATTTTGTGATGTTTACATTTCTTTTTTTTTTTTACCATTATGACTGAAAAAAACAATTGTTGTGGACGATACGTCGCTGAACTAAATGGTATGGGATTCCATTTTTGACACCTCTGCCGCACAATGCCACTTTCAGATGCAGGACATGTGAGGCAGCCCTTCACGCAACATCTTGCTAATTGCCAACACTTAAATGTGCAAAACAACTCGTCTTGAAGTAGAGAACAGCGAGAGGAACAAACATAACTGCAAAGGAATCGCACGGCGAACTGATCCCGCAACGCATTTCGTCTGCTGCACCCGGAAGAAAAACAAAAAAAATCGCACGGTTGGGTGTAGCCACGTGACTTCCGCCACTCACTCTCTCCCAAGGAGGTTAGAAGTACTAGGAGGGGGCACGTTGCAATATTGGTGAAGCCTAGTCATAAAAAGTTTAAACGATGTTGTGCCCAGCGGGACCGCAGATCTGTTTGGCGATTGGTGCGCGTGACATGTCACGTGCGAGATGGATGGTTGATTGTGGGAGGATTCCTTGCAGGCTTGCGCGCGCTCCGTCCGGTAGGTTTTATCAGATGGAAGGCTAGACGAAGGCTAGCTACGGTCACGTGATGTGGTGAGAGTAAGGAGGAAAATGAGAAAGAGGCGGAGGCGTCAAGGGAGCATGGCTTTGGAGGCTACGCGGCTGACGTCATGCCCTCTCCTACCCTTCTATTCTCCCTGCTCTCTCCTCTCTCCACTTCTCCGTGTGGTGCGGGGGTTTCGGTTTCAGTTTCAAGCAGTTGCGTTTTTTTTTGGCTTTATTAAAAAAATACGCGACTCAGTAGCAAAGTATTAATTGGGTAGTATTCCGACACCATAAAAAATCGCCTGGCAAAAAATTAAAAAAAAAAACTTTTTTTTTTTTTTTTTTTTTTTGGGGGGGGGGAGGTTGCCGTGGCTGGTGACGTCACCAGCCAACCACGCGGCGTCCCCTTGAACGCACTCACAGACTTGGCTCTCTTGGCGTCTCGAGCTTCAGCTAGGTTGATTACCAGTTCCGCTACTCGCGGGAATGTCCCGCGTCCAGCGAGAACATCACAAATCTTCCAAAAATGTCCCGCATTTCACGCTGTCGTAAAATTCACTCCGCAACTCATGATGCTGGCGAACAACGGGGCACGGGGAAGCGCGGAGGCCGCTGGTAATCGTGTGAATCGAAATGGCACGCCATCTTCTATCCAAGCTTTGCGGGAAGCGACCGTCGTTCTTGCCGGAGGACCGACGCGCATGCGCCGTTGTGTCTCTCCCTTTGGTGGCAAAATATTGGAAGGAAAATTGCTCACCAAAAAGTTTAGATATAAAATATTTCAATTATTTTCAAATTGCTGTGTCAGTGCGAAAAGATTGCTGTGGATTTTTTTTTCAACGGTCGAAAAAAAAACATAATGTTAAAAATTTGTGTAGGGCCATGTTGATAAAACTAAGCGTTGACACGAAACAATAACCCGAAAAAAGATTTACTGTTTCTTATTTCCATTTGATGCGTTCAGTTCTGAAACAGTCGATTTTTATGTTTTCAACTTCGACACATTTAATAACATGTCTGGCCTTTAAAAAACTATATCGCTCGTAGTGGAAATTATTTGAGCTTAATTGCTGCAATACAATTAGCAGGTGTATGAGCAGTACAGGATAATAAATGTGTTAGCAGAGCCTCGGTTCTTTGTGTGCGTGTTGCTCAGTGGTGCTTAGGTAATTTGTAATTTGTCAAAAAATATATTGCGTGACCCTTCCACCTTTTCCAGCGTTACTGCCAGCTTCTGATAGAAGAATGGATTTGCTAGCGATTTCACAGAATTAGCGAGCCGTAGCTTGAGTGTACAGAGTTGCAAAAACGGTTTTCTCAAAGTCCCCAATTGCTTCCGTTTCTTCGTTTTTTTGTTTTTTTTTTACTTTTTTATAGTTTAGCACGTAGGCCAAGATCATACTTCGTGCCAAACAGAGATTATAATCAACTTCGGATCGTACAAACGCCCCTGCTTTCTCGCCGTTAGACGCGAGAAAGGCGGACGCGAGCGTACCCAACTGACGGCTGCGCGCCTCGCTGCCCGCTGGTGACGTCATGTTTGGCTGGCGGGGAAAATTGGGGAAAAACTAGGGAGAACAATGTTTCCGTTTCGGCAGCGAACAAAATATCACTCCTCTATTGAACTAGACTGAATATGGTGGAGCGAGATAGCAGTTCGGAATCAGGAAGCCGTGCGCATTCGGAGGATGCCTGTGGACTACGTAGCTAAAAAAATCGGTGGTTTGCTACCTTCTAATATTGTGTGCGGTTTTGTACATCTATTCTATGGCATAACCGCCACTTTTTGTCATGACTCAATCTACGGGCTCTAAGCAACATAAAAAAATAAAGTACATTGAAGGGCGGCCGATTTTCCTATTTAGAATCCAATCAAAGATCATGCCACGCCCCCCTTTCTGCGCCGGGTCGCAGAACACCAGGGGGCGCCGTCGGACGGGAAGGCAGCAGTGGAGGGCGAGCGACAGTCAATCATGAGTGACGACTTCCCAGCTGACTCATTTTTCGAATATGTGCGCATTAGAAAAATCAGTCCGCTGGGAAGCCGTCACTCGTGATTGGCTGTCGCGCGCCCTCCCCTGCTGCCTTCTCGGATGGATGGATGCTAACAGCTCTAACGTTTAATAGGGCGGCAGCTTGCGCCACCTAGCCTCGTTGTACGTCATTCAATTCTCCCTAGATAATTCCCACCGCTCTTCCAATGTACTCTGTCTTATTAAATTATCATTCATTCTTCCATTCTAGTCTGCAAACCCCAGTGCTCTGGCCAAAACCGTCCCCCTCTCCCGGCGAGCGGGTGAAAGCCCTGTGCACCTCAACATCACATTTTCTATAATCTCGCCCCCCCCCCCCCTTTTTTTTGGCATATGGCACACTGTGTATCCATTTCTTTATAGTTTCTGTGTCCTATATGTCCTAGTCCTCAATACTCCTGTTCTAGCCTCGAACAACAAGCTCCCCCGTGAATTACCATACCAATGTTCCTTCCTTTTCCTGTTTTCGTCCCCTATACATAGTTAAAGCTGATTTTTCCTGCATTCTTTCCTCCCACATCTTTCTCTCGGTTTCTTTTACTTTATTTATCACGGGGGAAGTGTGTTCTGTATACAGACTTTGCGGTGGTATTTTAATTTTAGTTTTCGGTTTGTCCATTTAGTCTTGAAACTTTTTATGTACAGATGCTTATTTACCACTACTTTGTTCAAATTTCAACTTACTGATCGCCTCTCTAGCCTCGAAAGATGCTCAGCCCATGTCTCCGTGCAGTCCTTCATTTGGTATATTCCCATGTGCCCCCAGTACCAGTCTGCCCACGCTCCGCTGCCGGGTTTCTAAGCTCGACTGGACCTCAGATTTCATACATCATGCTGCACTGCCAAAAGACAACTCTAGTACCATGACTCTTTTCCATATTCCCCGAAAAACTTCATATCTGCTGTAACTTTATAGTGCCTTATGCTTCATAATCGCTGCATTCCTTTTTGCTTTAGCGGATTTTCACCGGCCCTGTTATTCTAAGTGTTCTTTCCCCTCATTCAGCCATACTAGTAGGTACTTATACTTCTCTACATGTTTTATTAAAACGTCTTGAATTTTCAGCGGGTCCCCCTCATCGTTATAAACCTTTATTTCCGACTTGCAGTTACTGAATCTCCCCCAGAGTCTCCTTCCTCTCCACATATCGTAATCAGCTCCTGTAACCTATCCCGGCTATCTGCCAACAGTGCAATGCGGTCTGCGTAAAACATTCCTGGTATAACTTGGTGTACTTTTCCCTCTCTCTCCATATATGACACATCAAAACCTAAACTGCACTCATCTAATTCGTTTTCCATTCTACTTAGGTATATCATGAAAAGTACAGGTGGTAGGGGACAATTCTGCCCGAGTCCTTTTTAGTTCTGCCGGTTCTGTAATTTTTGCTTCCCATGTCATAACAACCTTACTATTTGTGTATACCTGTTGTAAAAGCCTAATCAACTGTGCATCTAAATCATACTCTCTCAGCAGTACCTTGGATTTTTCGTGACTCAACATTGTCGTACGCCCCTTTGATGTCTCGAAATGCTATCCATAACATTTTTTTTCCCATTCGTGCCAACAGTATACATTGAGTGATGATGAATAAGTTATCCTCTAATCTTCTATCTCTTTGGAACCCGTTATGTTTTTGGTCCATTCATCTTTCTACTACCTGCATCGTTATCCTGTACAGGACCGAAATTACTGTTGTGGGGTGGTATGACGCTATGCTATCCTTATTTCCCTCGTCTTTATAAAGCAATCTCATACTGCTTAGTCTCCAATCGTTGGGTACTTCTCCCCCATTATTAGTTGATCAGTTGCCTTGCCTGTCTTAACTTTAATTTGCTTTTTGTTCCTAGTGTCCTGACTAGTCTCATTCCAGCGCCATCTGGGCCTGTCGCCGTCGCAGGAGGTACTTTACTTTCTGCTCTGTACCATTCCCTCGTGGTCGTCTGTTGTCTTGCTAGTGTTCTCGTCTTGTGCTGTGTTGCTGTTTGTGCTCTGTACAATCTTGTTCGGTCCAAGTTCTGCAAATGTTGCCTCGATTGTACGTCTATTTGCAAAAATAGCTCTCTGGTCGCCGCCATTTTGCGAATTGAGTGACCCCTATCAGCCAGAAATGTCTACCAACAGCCTGAGCTGTGGAAACCCGGTCAGCGTGACTCCCCACCTGCATTGTGCATTCGGAGTTCGCCGGCTTTTCTTGGAAGTTTCGACTTTATTTGCCTGTTTAGGGTGCTTACCCTTTGTGTGTTATCTTTCACTGTGCTCGTTGCCTGAATGGCCTTCGCGGGAAATGAACGAAGAGAGCGAACGTCAAGCAGCACGCGACGCAGGCAGTTCAGCACTCTTGGAGGATTATTTCCGTTGAGATAATCTCCAAAAAGCCTTCCCGACTGTGTTCCCGGTTTTGCGAAAAATAGCTGATAGGGTCGGGTCCGAGGTGTGGCGAAGGAATAGACACATTCGTTCATTTGCTTTGAAGTTGTGCAAAAAATAAGCAGCTCTCTTCAAAACGTGCCCCAAGACACTCTGGATTACGTCCGATCGTCGTGAAGTGACTATCGTCGACACTGTATATTGGATATGCTGTGTTATTTGAGACCTTTCTCAAATCCTGTTCGAATAACGTGGCACCGTGGGTACGTACAATATAGGTTGTTCGATTGATGAGACTCGCTGAATTTCATGTTGTGGGCGGGGATTATCCATGCTATTCGGATGTCCTGTGTGGTCAAATATTTTCGACGGCTAAGGCCTTTGTAGATTGACATGTCTGAGCTCAGACATGTCAATCTGTTTACGGCGCCATACACTAGTGTATGGCGCCGTAAAAATATCACCATAATATGTAACAAACATACCAGTTGCATTTGTGTTGTCGTGCATGGACTCACTAAAACAGCTTTCATTTCTTTGTTTTTGTTCTCAAAAATAGTACAATGCATTCTTAAAGACCCCGAGAAATTCTATTTGCCATAGAACGCAAAATAAAAATATATAACGCGGCAATGTAGCCTCCACCAGCGTCCGGAAGTGCGCCTACGCAGGCTGCCACAGCCCACTGACTAGAAAACCCACAGCCCAGCGCACTTGGGCAACACTGACGTACCCTCTCAAAACCAGGGACGCGCGCTGTAAATCGCTTCGTTCGAGACAGCCGCTGGAAAGGTCCCTCTTGTGTGGTCAATGATCACTGGAACCTTTCCGTTTTTCTTCCCTGCACATTAATGCGCTCTCAGGACCTTTCTGCTGCATTCCTATCATTTTGATTTACTTCCGTCATCCACTCCACTCCAGCCCTACCAATCTTGGCTTGGACAAGAGCATATGCTTCTCCTTTTTTTTTTCTTCTTTCCTGAAACATATTCCATTTCGATGCTACCTCAGCAGGTGTGTCTTCTCTTTTCCTCGCCCATCTGTGTTCCCTTCAGGCTCTTGTCGCCCACCAGCTTTTTGTGTGTCTCCTCCTTTGTTTGATTCTGAACTTCTCCCATCCGACGGCACCCCCTGGTGTTCTGCCCTTGAATGCTATTTGGGTATAGGGCCCGTAGATTGACTTATGACAATAAATTGACAATCTCAGAATTCACCTAGGTGTCCCATTGAGAAGGTAGCAAATCACGTTAACTCTAAGGTGGTTCTCTCGGCAACGGAAAAACTCCAAGATGTGCGGACTGACGGACTCCTTCCACAAACACCCGGTAGGTTGCCTAAAGAAGTGTAACGTTGGACACTGAAACCGAAACTAAAATAAATGGCTGGCCAACGGGCCGATAGGCGACGCCAGCGCACTATCCCCCTCGCCCTCCTTTTAAGGAAGGCGGGTTGTTCGATTCCCCCCGCAGATTTCAACGGGGTGTGCGAGTCAGGGGAGGAAGTGGCCGAGTGGGCTAAAGCGCGATCCAAACCAACGCGTCTTTTTGCGGCTGTAGGTCGTGCGCGCCCCGGATGTGACGTATTTCGTGACGTTTTTGCTGTTTCCGGCGCGCTTTCTGAGTCAGAACCGTGCGGTTTGGTTTGGACGGTGCCAGCTTCGGGCGAGCGCGCACGCGCGCACGCAGGCACGAGCGCTTTCTGGCGGGGAAATGACGACCAATCGAAATGCAGCTTTGGTCCCGAGCGAGTGTCCAATGAAAATTAATCTGTGGGATCGTTGCGCTGCTTGAGAGAGAGAGAGAGAGAGGTCTTGCTAAAGAGGAAAAAACCAACGTTCGCCGTCGGCGCCGTCCCCGCCTTCATTCCTTTGCTTTCGTGACGGCGTTTCGTGAGGATCCCACGTACGAAGCTGGGATTGCTGAGCTAATGAACCTTTGTGTGGTAGTACGTCAGCAATGCAAGGTAGTACGTCAGCAATGCAAGAACCGTCAACATGACTCGGCTGACTGCTTTTGCGGCTGCATGTGAGCAGTACTTGAGTATCAGCAAGAAGCAGCGAAGGGCAATCTGCACGGTGTTGAGGTCTAGAAAGACGCTCGGCGAGTACGCCACCACTGTGCGACAGATGCACCAGGACCCCGACGGCCGGGACTTCTTCGAGTCCTTCCGTATGTCAAGAGCCAGCCCTGCTGGAAATGGGCGATGTGAAATGAGGCCAAAATTCACATTGAACCAATGTGCAACTGTAGGTCCAGACACATTGAGCAATATGCATTTATGAAACAAAAACCTATGTGCACCAATTGGTAATCCTTTAGGGAATTCACATTGGGCTGAATTGGTAATCCTTTAGGGAATTCACATTAGGCTGATTGCATTTATGAAACAAAAACCAATGAGCAGCAATTGGCAACAGGTACCCCAGTGCACATTGCATTGAGGGTATTTATGGGGCAAAAACCAATGAGCAGCAATTGGCAACAGGTGCTCCTGTGCACATTGGGTTGATGGTATTTATGGGGCAAAACCTAATGAGCGGCTATTGGCAACAGGCCCCCCTGTGCACATTGGATTGATGGTATTTATGGGGCGAAAACCAATAAGCGGCAATTGACGACAGGCACCCCTGTGCACATTGGGTTGATGGCGTTTAGGGGGCGAAAACCAATGAGCGGTAATTGACAACAGGTGCCCCGGTGGACATTGGTTTGATGGTACCCAGTCAACCAGCAACCGTCTATTAAACGTCCGAGAGATGTGTTGTTCGGACATTTAACATATCCAGTGGATATCTGCTACGATTCATCCAACATTGAAAGTATCTACTGTGCAGTGCAAAATGGTTCCCCAGAAAACGTACCACTAACGCAATCTGGTTGATGCAGCTGGACATTCAGGACCATTGTAGGATGTTCAGCCTGATCCTGTGGATGTACCATGTACATACCTCAGAAATATTACCTTTCCTGGTATAGGGACCAGCCCTATGCCAGGAGGGCAAGGAAGTGCCTAAGCAGCCTTCATTTTATGCTAGCATATAGCGTGTAAACTGTCCTACAGAAAAATTTAAATGGATAAGAGTCCAATTCTTTACAAAACAAGAGCTCAGAGGGCAGATTTGCTGTATGGCCCGTGCATGCTCTCAATGTATACCCAAATGGCGCCGCAGCAGACATTCTTTATATTGAAGTTTTTTTTTCACCATCAAGCTCAGAAGCTTTACCACAGGATCAATACAGACGACACTGACAAGGAAGGCGACACTACTGATGCTGACTCGCTTTAGTGAGGTGGACCTCGCCACATGCGAGAGAACTGAAATACTGGACACAAACATTGTCATAAGCTATGACGAACGGCCCTGAGGAATTGACTACTGAAGTCTAAGGCTTCAGTAGTCATATGCTCTAGTGACGAGGACACCAGAATTCCATGAGAGCTGTAGCACCGACTGCACGGCAAAAGATGCCGCTGCAGTCTTGCAGCGTAACTTTGAACGTGAGTAGCGCACTAAATTCCTGCTCAGCCTGTCAGGCATGCACATCCGTTCTGTAGAAAAAGTTGCAGTGCCAAACAAATCGCCATTAACCCTTTATTGTTACTGTTAGACAGACGAGCAGTGCTTGATGCTTTTAAAATAAGTATAATTTTTGAACAATGCTGCATAGACAGCACGAGGTTTTCAAAATAAAGTATACTTACTGAACAATGCAGGATACTTTGCTTAAAAAAAATGTCTGATAAACATAATAAAAAGCTCAGCACATTCAAGGCCCACTTAAGGCAGTTCACATCTCTCTCTCCTGTGGTGCAGAATGTTCCTGAAAAGCAACGAAAAAATGTTAGGTTAAAGATATGTGAGCAGTGGTTTACCATTCTTTGAAACAAAACTAATAAAACAGTGAAGTGACTCAAATATGCAAGAATTGGAACTGATGTAAATAAATCACAAGTATTTTATGCCTTGTTTTTAAAGCACATTCATGCTGGATGTGTGTACTGTATTGCCAACTTTTGTTTGTTAGTTTACATCAAATATCAGTGTTCTTAAAATTCGTTGTCTATGCATTCTTTTTAATCCATAATAAGGTACTATTACATAATGAAATTTTTCCTCTTAGAGAAACACTCCAAACAAAAATTTTTTTATTTAAAATTATTCAATACTGTTAACACCTGTAGTATTTGCTCTCAAATTAAACCAAAAAAGGTGTCACTGGCTTTAATATTTAAAGCATTCAAATACTCTTATAGAAATTATGCTTTGAAGAAATTGCACACCATACTTACTGTTCTAGAAAAGTTTGATTTTTGTGCTAACATCAGCTTAATAAGACCAGCTTACCATTTGAGATGACTGATGTCAGGCAGGTGCGTGGCGAAGTTAATCCGTGACCATGGTTTCTATCTTGAAGTCTTCACATTTATGGCAGCAGGCACTGCATCTGATAAAAGAAAGCAACAGAAGTATGACACCAACAATTCCATAAATCTGGTTCCATGTGAAGCGATCTGCACTACTGTTCCAGAGATTACTTACTTATGATGCACTCAGCAAGGTGAAGGTTCCTGAATGTCAACTTTCTCTTGCGTCCTTCCCACAAAAATTTTCGCCCCAACTGGTCAGTCAGCAACCGCCTCGTGATCTGTCTCGTACAGGAAGCATAACCAGATCCGCAGAGTTTGCTGAGCTGTCGAACATAAAAAAACATCCACATAGCAACCGCTTAGTGCAATCATAACTATTGATTGGATGTTTCTGTTTATTTTTAGTCAACCTTGGCAGGTGTTTATCGGCATCCATTTCTTCATTAAATGTGCTGCAAAAATATTCCAAAAGCCGGGAATCATAATGATAAAAAAAACTGCACCGACTTTACTCAACAAGATTAACAATTTAATCAAACGTTTCGTCTCCCATGTGGGAAACATCGTCGGTGAAACCTTGAAGCAGGAATGAGCGAAAGAAACTTCAACAGTCCTATTTAAGCAAGTCCGCATACACAATGAGGAGGGGGCCGCAGCTGGAGTTACAAGCTGATGAGTCATTTCGGATGAACCATGATTCTACGAACCTGCTTGGACCCCACCTTTGTTCACGCGCCAGAGTGGACGCATTCTCAAAGTCGAAACTGTGTCCCGTATTCCAACAATGGTCTACGAGTTCCGTCTTCGCTCTTGTCGCATGCGTGGCCTTTGCCATGTCCCTTTTGTGACTTTCATTTAGCTTTAAACAGCATTGAATCATCAATCCAATTCACACATGAAGTTGAACAGAACGGTGCAAAGCCTTTTCTGTATGTTAATGTGTTCCGAAATAGTACCGGTCGCTTATATACAACAGTGTACCGCAAAGCTATGATACAGGCAACCTCTTAAGCTTTAACTCGCATCATTCTGTCGAACATAAAAGGGCTGTCGTAAAAAACCTACTACACCGGCCCGAACGCATTTCTTCTAATCCTCAATTGCGCGCTTCTGAGAAAAAAGTCAAATTTGGGGGATTTACGTGCTAAACCAACGATGGGCATCTGGCACGCCCCAGCGGAGGACTGAGGATTAATTTAGACTACCTGGGGATCTTTTGACGTGCAACCGAAAGCTCGGTTACACGGAGCCTGCTCCGCAATAAGCCTCCGCCGCATGGGGATCCGTAGGCCAGCGCTCTCGCCTCGGAGCCACCGAGGCGGCTTGCACGCTTCTGAGGATGCTGTTATTGTTGACCTGCTGATGAAGCGGAATTATCCGAAACGTTTTATTGATAACACGCACAAACAGATGGGACAAAGAAGTCAGGATAATGGACAACTTAGGACAGGGCAAGCAACAATACCCTATTTGAGAGGTGCTTTTGAGTCCATTCGCAGGGCCCTTGCCCCTTTGAATAACCGCACAGCTTTCAAACCCCACCATAAACTATGTGACTTCATTTCTAAACCTAAAGATTACACCCCCCCAGAGTCCCAGTGCGGTGTTGTGTATAAAGTGAACTGTCTAGACTGTGACACATCCTATATTGGGGAGACAGGCTGAAAGCGCTGCACTCGCCTAAACAAACACAGCGAAGACGGAACTCGTAGACCATTGTTCGAATACGGGTCACAGTTTCGACTTTGAGAATGCGTCCACTCTGGCGTGTGAACAAAGGTGGGGTCCACGAAGGTTGGTGGAATCATGGTTCATCTGAAGTGACTCATCAGCTTGCAACTCCAACCGCGGCCCCCTCCCCCGATGTTTATGCGGACTTGCTTATGGCGAATTCGCGTGGTTCTTTCTGCGCGCTCTCGAGCGCGAGCGCGCTTAATCGGGTGGTTGAAAGAGAGTGCTGTGGCCAGATCGGGTGGTTCATTCGGAGGACGCCTCTCCCTCTCAGAGCGCTCTCTGGCACTCCGTCTGTAGCCGTCGGAGTGCGGAGCGGCGCAGGCGTCACGTGGTAGCTGGACGGGGATCACGTGGTTTTGTTGACGATGGCCGGCAGTGGTCTGTGGTGCTGTGCGGGGTCCGGCATGACGGTGATTGATGTGTGGTTCTACAAAGAGTGTGTGCATACGACGGTGCGAGGATTACAACGGACGGGACGACATTCGTTTGCGACCGTAACAGGAAAAGCCGACGTGCGAGCTGTTCCCAGTGCCTTCACAAGATCGTTCATCTCACGGCGGTGAATCCGCTAAGCCTAACCGACGACGAAACAGCTCGCAGAGCTCGCCGCTGTTTTACCGGATTTTGTAGTCGCTTCAAGAAATTTTTGAGGTTTGGTAAAAGTGCGTTCAAAGGTTTGTGTTGTAAAATAAAGGGAAAGCCGAATATAATGCACTGTGATTTGTGTCACATTGCGATGCTTGCACGATATTTCGCCGTGAGAAAAGTGCGGTTTGTTAACCATTTTATATTCGCCTGCTCAGTCGTACGCATGACCGCTATTGCAGCGCGTTCACTGTTGAAAACGCGATGAGTTGACAACTGTTTCCAAGCGCTGGCTTTCGTTCCGTTCTGCAAAAATCAATTCGCATACTGTTGTTTTTTTGTTTTGTTTTTTTTAGATGCCGATGAGTAAAACAATTCACGTCAAAACCGTTATTTCATCACGTTGCGAGCGTAAATTTTGCTGAATCGTCCACCGTACGCTGTAAGATGGTGTTGTTTTTAATGCATTCCCAATGTCCCGAAATTTAATTCCGTGACTGGTCTGAGAATGTCAGAGCGCTCTGAACCCAGCAGTTGTGATCGGCTGAAAAGGATCCCGAGTAGCTCTGGCGGCGAGGAGGGGGCGCTCTGCTGAATCGAGGTCAGAGGAGAGAGGCGACCACCCGAATTCACCATTAAATAAGATTGTTGAAGTTTTTTCGCTCATTCCTGCTTGAAGGTTTCACTGATGATGTTCCCCGCATGGGAGACGAAACGCTTGATTAAACTGTTAATCTTGTTGAGTAAAGTCAACGCAGGTTTTTTATCATTAAATTTGCTACTAATATTTATACCTGCTCTTATTGAGGCACTTCCGACATTTAAACTGAGAAATTTTGACGTCTTTATCTCAATATGGCGATTGGATTAAAGATTATACCACTGGGCACGGGCTTGGGCTTACCCGAAAGCCCAGGCCTGGGATGGGCTCGGACTTTTGACTGTGGGCCCGGGCCGGGCTCGGGCCAGCACATTGATTGGCCTGGTTCGGGCCAGCACGTTGATTGGCCTGGTTCGGGCTCGGGCCAGCTGTAATTGACCATGATGCTGACAGAGGCCATCGTAGAAATCGGCGTCTCGGTTATCTCTGCAACATCAACTCCAGAACCACTAGACAAGTACCCATGAACGTAGGCCCACCTTAAGATGGATGGATGGATGGATGGATGTTACTGGCTATACCCTTTGTAGCGGGTGGTAGCTTGCGCCACCTAGCCTAAGTCTAAGAAAGACAAACATTTGATTTGATTTCCCGCGCCCTTCTAAGCCAATTTTCTACCCCCTAACTATCACCAGGTAGTGTGGGATATCACCAGGATGACCTTTGGGGGATCGGGCAAAAAAACTAAAAACATCACCCCCCGCCTCTTCCCCCCGGCGAGGGAGTCGCCAATTTTCCTCTGGTCAGACCTTGTCGGCGTTACCCCCGCACCGGACCCACTGGGAGACAGGGTTGAGACTTTGGGCCGGAGCCACGCGGGAGGGAGTCCCAATTTTCCTCTGTCCCGCCTGTCCCCAGCTGTGCTAGTTAGTTCTGTATCATTCAATTTTCCCTAGATAATTTCCACCAATCTTCTAATCTCCTCTTTGTGACTGCAATCCTCTTCTCCTCCGTCCCTCCATCGTCGCCAGCAAACCCCAGGGCCCCGGCCAGATCTGTTACCCCTTCAGGGGTAACATGAGGTGAGCTTCGGGTTAATCCCAGTGGCGTGATGTTTTTGCTTGTGGTGATAAATAGCGGCAAACCAAAAATAAACGGACATTGAAGTGCTCTGTCAGGAATTAAAAATGGGGGACTCAAAAACATTAACGCTAAACAATCTCAACCTAATTGATCATGAGAAACACTTATCTCTCTCGAATAATAGCTGGGAAGCGCTAACATAGCGGCAATGAGGAAGTAAGGAAGCTTACAGGCCTAGTAAAAATTTATACACATACTGGGGAATGCCTGGCACATATTCAGGTATGAATACATGCTCAGATCTACAAAATATTTTAGGAGAAGATACAAACTGCAAATTAGTAGTCTTTCTTAGAAAACACATTGACGTATCTTAATCACAGTGCTAAAACCCATAAAAACACTTGATTACAATTATTTTAATAAAAAAAAGTTCTGAATATGTACATGACACCAGCAGTCATAACTTTGATTTAGTTCATCGCAAGCTATATTTCTCTGGAAGCAAACGAAGACAAACCTTTTAACTGTGCAGTGAACCAGAATTAATACAATACGACGAAGCAACGTTGTCTCAGGGTAAACGACGAAATGGTTAAAACACATAACCTTTACCTAGTTTCTGGGCATATGAAAACAAACACACGGCACCCCTATCAATGAAATTCCTTGTACTTGTGGCGGCATAACTAAAGAAAATCTCAAATTTAAAATACGTCTTATGAATTGCTTCGCAAGCGCGAAAATGAAATTACAATTACCTGTCTCATACAAGCTTCCTCCAGCCCTCCCGGGCAGTCACTCATCTCGTCGGAGGTACTAGCACCCGCTTAGCCCCCCATTCACACTGGAAGCGGATCCGCGTTCGCGAAGCGGTTGCGAAAGCGGTTGTATAAAGATCCAGTGCAATTGCACGCGCATTTGATGTCATCGTGTGCGCGTGCAATTGTACTGAATCCTTATACAACCGCGTTCGCAACCGCTTTGCGAACGCGGATCCGCTTCCAGTGTGAATGAGCCCTTACTCCCATTCACACTGGAAGCGGATCCGCGTTCGCGAAGCGGTTGCGAAAGCGGTTGTATAAAGATCCAGTGCAATTGCACGCGCATTTGATGTCATCGTGTGCGCGTGCAATTGTACTGGATCCTTATACAACCGCGTTCGCAACCGCTTTGCGAACGCGGATCCGCTTCCAGTGTGAATGAGCCCTTACTGTCACTGGGTTTCCGCGTCACTCTGCGATCCTGAAACAACCCGCGCCGAGATTTACTCCCAGATATTGTGCTTAAAGCTGCAATTTTTAACTTAAAGGAGATGGTCACTAGACTGGGCACAACGCGTGTGGAGACTAGAACTTACCAAACAACTTTAGGATCCGCGCCTTGAAGTCCGATTCCGTTTCGTCACAAGGCTTGACGGGCAGAAATTTGAGATGATATGTGGCTCATGGTCGTCCTCAAGACGTACGCTTGCATAATCGTTCGTAAAATTCCGGCCGCTCAACTGGTCTCGACTCTGCAACGTGCTTCAAGCGGTTAGACTTCCCGCGAACGTTGCTTCGGCAGCTTCGGTTCTTCTTCCACGCTTCCTTGTCATCCTTGTCCCAGTGTTGCCAACCTATTTTTCGAAAATACCCCACGGCAGCGCAGCGTCCAGAAAGCCCTACATTACCCTACGAATGTTTCGTATTACCCTACGTTTTACCCTACGAGGCAAATCTTTGTTCAAATAATACTGTTGCATGGATTATAATGATACAGGGTAATATTAATACAGTACAAAGCGACAGGGCACGCATGCACGCGCATACCTGCGTTATTCTAGAACACCATGCTTGCATCTTGCATGTGCGCTGTATAGCATCAGCACAACAGTGATGTAGCGAGCGCACAGACATCCCCAACCAACATGTTTAGTCGATTTGTCGTGAAATTAAAAACTGGGCCACGCGAAACCAGCACTCGCGGCGTCAGACAAGGCGGCTCATTACAAAAGGAAGCTAATCCGAACAGTATATTAGCTTCTTTGGTTGTACCGCCTAGGGATTCGTCAAACTAAGGTACTATTTCGACAAACCAGGCTTTCACACCAGGGGAGGATAGGAAACCGGTTTCTCCTCCGTATTCGCTAAAATGTCATTCGATGAAACGTCATTGTTTCGGCTTCGTTCGCTAAAATGTCGTTTGCTCAAGTGAACGCCTCCAGTCTCCGGGATGCACTGACTTGATCAAATGACGCTTTAGTGAACGCCCACGCTTCACCGAATGACACTTTAGCCAATAGTCGGACGCTGCGAAGCAGCGTTTTCGGGTGGCCAAATGGGTTTACAATTTTGTAATGAGCCGCCGCAGACTGTCGCCGCGAAACGGCCTAAGCGCAGCGCGGCCCCCGTTATTCGCTACAACGTCGATTCGCTCAAATGTCGCTGTTCGCTAAAACATCACTCGCTCAAGCGATATGGACCCGTCCTGGGTGGGCTCGGGATGGTTCCGCCTGCGGTGCCACGTGTTTCGCAGGTGTAACAAGGACCGCCGGATGGACCAGTCATCAGAAAAAAATTGGCGGGACCATTTCCACTGGGAAGATACCTCTTCTGGCTCCAAACTTCCTAGGCGCAACTCCACCTCCTCCCACCTCTCCCACTTGCTCTAGCTCTCCAATAGTCTCCAACTTAGGGAGCATTCATACTCCAACTTGGTGTGTGGTGCTCTCAGTTAGCACGTCTTGCAACTTGGATTCTTTCGTTTTGCATGATGTTGTGGTGTGGCAGCACACGGGTTGTAAAGCTACGCAAAACTTGCGCGGCTATTTTTTTTTTTTTTTTCGTTATGTTTGCCGTTGAAGAAGCAACGTCTGAAAATACCCTACTTTTGGCGGGGAAATGGCCGGACGGCCCTACAGCCCTACAATATACCATAAATGCCTAAAATACCCTACAAGTAGGGTAATTACCCTACAGTTGGCAACACTGCCTTGTCCTCCGGCCGGACCGTTCGGTTTATCACGTCGGACCACTTCCTGACGCAGGGGATGTATCACGTGACTATAATACTTCGTATTTTAACTCTTGTTTTTGTTTGCTGAAGTAAACGAATACTTAAAAAATTTACTTATTGACCTTAATTTAGCAAAACATTTGCATAAATTGCACTTTGAAAACTTATTTTGGTTTTATATGTCATGCGGGCTATGCATGCGGGTCACCCCACTGTTCACTCTATTGACTCCAGCTCACTCTATATTGTCACGTGGTGTAACCCGCAAGCCCGCAAGTGTGACTGATGCACTTAAGAAAATAATAAGCGTTTCTAAAAATTATGGTATTACTTAATTGTCAAATGTAAATACTGAATATATATTAAACTTATAGCGGAGTAATTTTTATTTATCATTTTAATTAGAAAATTGCATTTGCTGCGGGACGACGTCGGTGCGAATTTTAAAATTTGGATTTGAGACACGTAGGGTGTCGCGCTGTGCGACCATGAACCCAAACAAAAAAATATACTTGGAGCCACTAAGTATACCCAGCTTGCCAAGGACAACAGTCCTGAGACGAAGTTGTGTCCTGAAAAATGCTACAACAGGCCAGGGACCAGAACCGACGTCTCCGACAGCAGTACTGTAAGCTCGGTTGTCTCGGAACACGGTGAGACAAAAACGCCCCGTGAACTAAGTAGTACCAATGAAACCAGAAGCGGTCACAGTACTGGGCCAGTTAGTGAAGACACAAGTGATAAAATTGTGAAAGTGACGGGAGATTTGAAGACCAATTTCCTGTCCAAGTTTCCGAAAAGGCTACTGCCAAAGACGAATGTAACGAGTCTGACGTACCCTGTTTCGGCTGGCCTTCATTTTAATTGGACGCAAAATGAAGGGCTTTTGAATCTCGAAAACTTCATTGCTGGAGTGTACACTCTTCCCGGCATCAAGGAAAACTACAACATTGGGAAGCCAGAAGCCAAACTAAAGGCCCAAACTGCCAACAAGCGCGTAAAATGCCTTTCAAAAAGGAACTTCCTTGCTCAGCTACAAAGTGGAAAGCGCTGCCTGACACTTACTGTGCATGAAACAAGGTGCAATCATAATTTCGGGAAGGTCATCCTTATTTCGTGTGTGTGTGTGTGTGTGTGCGCGCATTTTATGTGCTTTTTTTTTAATGACTTCTATGGTGTTAATAATTATTGGATGTTATTCGGCACTACCGGCTTTTCTTTTCTGTTAATAAAAAGCATGCCCACGATAGAATGTGCACGTAATCTGCCGCCCCAGAACGAGCGCGTAGCCTCTGCTAGGGCTCAAACAGGATACGTTCACATGGCAAAATGGAAGCCTGAAGTATCGCCTTTTTTCGCCAACTCCGCCAAAGTTTTAAAGTCCCGACGTCGGAAGTCTGAGAGCTTTGGACCAATCGTGAAAGATGATAATAGGATTTTTGAGTCAGTGTTATTCTGTTTTTGACCCGGTTTTACTCTGATTTGCTCGGTTCTGGAACGAAATTTATACAAAAACGAGAACGTTCCACTCCGAAACCAGGTAAAACTGAATAAAACGGAGCAAAGTCTAATGTGAATACATAATCCAGTTGGTGCAATCGTTTACGCTATTACTGTTACTGAGACATTACTGTTACTGAGACAGAATACACCGCTAAAACTGCAGAGTTCCGATGATACCTGAATTTCGTGGTTTGCCTATATATAATTATTCATGAATCTTGTGCATACTATGTGCACACACAATGTTCCCGTTCCCCATAGTCTTTTCTTTATGTTTTACTGGCAGCCGCATGTTTTATAATACGAAGGAGGACAGTACGTAATCAGGAAATTCTAAAACACGTGACAAAAAACAGTTCATATTCACTTTATTAGTGTTTTATTTAATTTATTTAATGTTTTATTTAATTAGTGTCTACATGGCCCAACCCAAGTTATATAGCTAAAAAAAGATGTTTATTTGACAGAGGGGAACCCATCGGGCACGCACATATCTGCACAGGGGGGGGGGGGGGGGGGAACCATGGGCCCCCCCCCCCTCCTCCCAAACCTTTCATTTGGTGGGGCCTCCTTTCCCCCCTCCCCCTCATACAGTATTTTGTCATGGGCGAATCAAAATCCTGGCTGCGTGCCTGCCATCGGGTATATTTGCGGCAAAAATTATTTTCCTGTGCTCAAAACATAAAACTTTAGTATATAACAACTCTAATTTCTCCACTAAGCATACTGTTTAACCTGATAGATGCCCACTTAGTAGATTTTATGTTCTGTATTCCCAGTCGACCATTAAAAGTTCTCGATCCGAAATGCATTCCATTTCACCAATGAAGCTTTCAGTTTAACCAGTACAACTTGTTATTGATCCTATTGAAGGACCAATAGGCACTTGTATTCCGGACCAGAAAACATTCGTGTTGTTCCCATAGAAGTTTCTACTTATCCCATAGAAGTTCCTGCTTGTCCCACAGAAGTTCCTAATGGTACAAGAGAAGCCTGTATTAATACGATATAACTTGTTATCGGCCCAGTAGAAATGCCCATCGGTACGATGAAATCCTATTGATCGCATAAGAATCTCTATCGGTCCCATAGAAAATTTTTGCAAGGGTGTGCTAATTTGGCGATTGAGCATTGTCACTGCCATACTGCACCGAGTTCACTTCTCTGCAGTGCATGGCTCTTTGCTATCCCCCGTACAATGGCTCTGCCACATAGCGCCACTGGCTGCAATGAGCGGTAATGAGCAAACTGAGTGTCGTGCACATTGACACAATTGGCATCATGGCGCTTGCCCCCTAAAGTTGACTTTCCCTCAACCGATTCTTTGGCCTTCCCCCGTGCTGCGGCTTCTCTGCAGCATTTCCAGTTGCACCAATGTGCAAAACATCGGATTTTCTCATCGGCGCCAATTGCACATTCATGCTCATAGGCTTTGGCTATGCATTTCAATTGGAACAGGCCTGCCATTTCCAGCAGGGAGGTAAGTTATGCTAGCTTTTATTTTGTATGTTTAGTATATTTTTCATCATATGTACCACCGCATAAATATTAACGTGAAGCGTGCACCATCTCAGTGAAATAAGGCACTGTACTTTCGCGAGACGGCAAATTCACAAGGTTTATACGTCTAAATGCCTGGCTGACTAGATGAAGGTACTTTGCTTCCCACTGCTCTCGCGACCGCGTGCGAGACAAGAACAAGCGTTGTCTTTGCCTTTAGCGGTCTGTACTACCAGGTACTATCACGTGGGTTTAAAAACTGCTTGCGCGTGAACACCGCAGGTATACTCGCTACACTAGCTGTCTGGTGTTCTCTTTTCACTGCATAACACCAGCTGGCCGAGGCACTGTGCTCCTTGGTTTGGCTCGTTGCTGAAAGCGTTGAGGGCGTTCCTCGCTCACAGCTGTCTTGAGCCACGTACATGGCATGCTTGCTTTTCTAACCGCATGTCTTGGTTGTGGGTCTGAGCGTGCTTGCAGGTAAGTCAGGTATAATGTTTGTTTTCCACGCGTGTAAAGAGATTGCGAGCGTCCCTGTGAGTGTCGGCTTGACAGTTTCAGATCAGTTTTCTTTTTCCTTGTGTTCATTCTTTATCTCGCCGAGGCACTCTGCTATTCGGAGATTCGTGTGCTGCAGCGCGACAGGGATCTTACTCGACCACAGCTGTATCGGGCCTGAGGTTTGCTTTAAAATGCATGCGCTCATGTTCCCTGACAATGTCTAGGCACTACAGTTGCAGCCGTTTCTTGGCAGCAGCATGGGTTTAGTCAGCTTGGGTTACTCTTGCGAGTAACTGAGTGAGAGAACAGTGCACTTCGTCGACTGCTCAGTTCCGTATTGTGTGTCTAATGCTTGCTTCTCTTTGTTTCTTTTTATGTGTATTTTGCAGGTACGGGCCTGGGGCTCTCGGCAGAGCCTGACTGCTAGAGAATGCGTCTGCCGATTGGTGGATGGGAGTTATCACAATGGAGATCCATCTTTATCGAGCATCATTGGTGTACACAGTGTGGCCAAGAATTTGTTGCCTTGACTAAAAGTTAGCAGTGCGAGAAATGTTTGTCGCACAACAAATGAACCGGAACTCCATTTTGGTAGACTTGACGCTTGCACCCGCAAACCAACAGGCATGCAGGTTCTACTATAAGTCTTGCCGCGACGTCATTGTGCTCCCCCCCTCCCCTCCATTCCCCAAGACCAGCATGGAATAAAGACATTTCCATGCAGTTACTTTCTGGTTCGTTTACCTTGCCTTGGCGTTTGGGTGCATGTAATGATGGAAGTGCCAGGCATTTCTTGGAGGCTAGAAAGACTGCAGAGTGCACACAAACTTGTCCTGGGGCAGCCGACATGCAGCTCTATACGGTATAAAATAGCTTGATGCGTGATTATGAGCGAATTGTGTTGCTATGTTTAAATTGTAGGCACATTTTAAATTTCAATGACATTGAGCTGAAACATTGCGCTTTCAACGTAATAAATGGTAAAACGTTTGTACCTCTCTAACTTCTGTGTTTTCTGTCTTAACTTAAAGGCTTCTAAAAAGTTTGTAGCATCCCCACATAAAGGATGTTATAATTCCTGTGGTTCCACCACTATGCAGATTGTTCTGCAAAGGTGGTGCACAGTAAAAGTCATGTTATGTAGATCTTGGCATATTCCAGGTAATTTGGACACTTTTCTTTAATGGTTTCAACTATAAAGTTTCCGAGACATGGGCGCCAGCTTCCATGAGTGGGCATCTCGAAAACGGATATGGTTGGCCTTTAAAAAGGCTGTTTGAGAAGGTTTTGCAGTGCTGTCAGAGTGGTTGACTATGAATGATAAGCAACATTACCATCATAGAGGACGTGTGACACAAGGCTTGCAGAACAATGTACAGCAAGCAACGGGGCTGCCATGTACTGTCCAGCAGTCTGTGTATCCCTCGCCATCCTTTTTAGGAAGGCGGGTTGTTTGATTCCCGGATGATTTCAACTTCCGTGACAATGAGAGGCTATATTAGGAGCCACTCCACAAGGTGTGGGAGTCGGTTCCTGGAGACAGCCGGTGATGCGTCTTGACTCAATCCTGACATTCGCCGGCTGACGCATTTCCTGGGGTACTTAGTCGCATTGTCGCGTCCCTGTGAGCTGGTAGCTCTGTCGGCCTGGAGGCAGTGTTTCTTCAGACTGGGTGTCCCAAACTGTACGTGAGAGAAGCATCGCAGCCAGGCTGTAGCATGCACAGTAGTCTATCAGATCCCGCGGACATGAAGCAGAAAATATGCGGGACAAACGGGAAGATGTGTCAACGCTACATTACACGAACACAACCAAAAAGTGACTGGGAAATGGGACGGCCATTTGTTGATGCACTGTCACGACTGTGGATGCAAACCTGAGTTCAAGTCATGCACTATCATCAGGAGACACAAGGATAAAACGGTACGGGAAATCAGAGGCAGACCTGATAAAAAGTTACGGGGATCAGTGCGTCAGCGTGACTTTGATCTGGCAAACAAAGAAACCCACTTCTTCATCCAAACAGCGGCAGGGCAGGGTATTGGGTGACGCAATGGCAGAGTATATATGCCCATGTTTTTCTATATGGAAAACAGTTCAAGTTAGCACACTGTGTTGTCCTGTTCTCTCCTCTCATTTGTGTCAAAAAGCGCTACCATGTTCTCAAAGTTTCAGCACCAACTCGCCCAACAAGCAGCATTGATCTCTCACTTACTTTGTACTTTACTTCAAGTACTTTGTAGATATACTTTATTCAACACTGGTGTGCGGCACTCCGGCTTTCTGCGGAACACAGAATGCAGAAAAGAAGGTTTAAATAATTATGCTGTAAAAAAATGGCTGCGGGCACCTTAAAGTTTTATTGTGAAATAACAATAATGGAGCTTGAAGACATTATTACCAGCAGACTTTATTAGTTCCAGAAGTATGAGATAATACTTTATAGAGTTGAAATTAGCGTACAGATTCATCTGGCGTCGCACTACGCTCGAGGAGGAGGAGGAAAGAAAAAGGAGGAGGAAAAAAGGAAGGAGAGGAGGATTCGAGAGAGAGAGAGGAGGAGGTGAAAAGAAAACTGGAAAAAAAATGTGAAAAAAAAAATGAGGCGACTTGCGGTTGTGGAGGTTCCTCGCCGATTTTTTGTGGGTACTCTGTTGTGGGGAAGCAGACGATTTGGAATGCGATATCTTCTTTTCACGTGTTTAGGGCGTTCTAGCAGATTTAGAAACTGTTTCTGGATGTTTGACTAAACGCTGGTCGCTTATTGCAACAAATAATTAATGGGATTAATATTTGAATACCCTCGGCTGAGCACACCGTGGCAATTTGTAAGCGGAATAGAAACAGCCAGTTTTAAATAAGTTTGAAAAACAAATTTTTACCCAGAACTGACCCAGTCCCAAAGCAGCCCCTCGACTTTCAGAGCAGGTACAGCTTCGAGTTTTCCCATGATTGCTCGATGAGCTGTGTATTGGCTTTCGTTACGGGGTCGATAAAGTGCTGTGAGCGGTTCATTGTCAGGTCGTTGCCATCTCGCAGACTGTCCATGCACACACGGCCCCGACACTCATCGGTAAAAACAGTGGTCCCTGGCGCGACGTTCTGGCGTATGTAGTCGCCCAAAGTGCGCGCATCGCGTCGTTGAACGTCCTCAGTTCCTTGGTTCGCTCACAGATCATTCCTAGCACCTAACAAAGTACCCACAAAAAATCCGCGGGGGACCTACCCAATTACAAGTCCCCTCTTTTTTTTTTTTTTTACAACAAACTTTCTGGGGGCTTTCCCCAGTTTCCTTCTCACCCCTCCTCCTCCTCCTCCTCCAGCCTAGAGCGACGCCAGATGAATCTGTACCCCAAGGTCTTTCCGAAATATGAACACCGTGTACAAGTGTCCAGTTCATTTTCAGGCATCTAACAATGGACCTTTTGCAGACATATTGGTCCGAGAGTAAATGGACAAGCAGGACGTAGCCGATGTTTCGAGTGCCGAATGGGTGGGAGGCCTTGCACGCGCGCTGTTTTCTATCCACATAGTCTCGAACCCATTCGCGTGTCTAGGCGGCAGCACATGTTTGCAAAAAGGTGGATTGCCACTGGGGCTAATCTGTAGTTGAGCAAGTATTTAGTAACTTGGAATGCAGTTCTGCAACAGATCAAGCAAATCTTTTTTAATGCACTACTCAGTGGTAAACACAGATGCTCAATGATATGGAAACGATGTGGTTGCAAGCAATAATGAGAAAATGAACCCCGAATTGGTTGAATTTAGTTTTCTTTTAAGAACTCAAATTTTTTTAATCCTATATTATTTTATTACCAGAATCTCACATACCTGTCTTTTGGGTATGCCATGCAAGGTTAAATATAGTAGTTCAACATATGGCAGGGCCCTATGAAGTCCACCCCGGCCTTTGTGTCTAGAAAGGGTGCCATCGTAATGGAACGTTCGAGCCTTGGTCTCTTCACATCTGGTTGACCCAACCTTACAGCTGAAATTTAGTTTATTGACATTTTTTAACCCTGGAGATGGGGAAAGAGGACATGACAGCACGAATCTCGTGATTCATGTTGGCCTGTCCTTCTGCTTCCAGGGGTAAAAAAAAAAGTCCATTCTTAACCAGCTTGCATGCATCTTTGCATTAAGTATATTTCTTGCCTCTGATTTTCATACAAATCATATTAACTCGACTAATTAGATGCAAATTAATGCACCTGTATGGACATGACTGCTCAGGCACTACATAGAAAATGTTTTCATGCGTTATCTGCGTAATCCGATTTCCGGTGGAGTAATAAAATTGACTGGCATTTCAAGACCTTTTTCTGTGTGTTACAATGCACCTGGACAGATTTACGAGCAGAGCAAAGACCTTGGGACATTGCAAGTGTGTGTAAGTCCTGAATTTGTGCATAGAAATGCACCATCAGAGCACTGCTCAAAGCAAAGATTGGGGTGTGTCGCTGGCATTTGCAAGAATTTTCACCGGTGCATATTTGAACGCAACAATTCAGATCTGTAATCCTTGTAAAGGTTTTGGGACACTGCTTGCGGTTGCAAGGTCTCTCACCTTTTATATAAATCTCTAAAAAAAAGCCTTCGGCCACCTGGTGAACTTGGTCCTAACTGTGTGTACTTGACCCTTTCACCACTCAAAGCAAAGGCTTGGGGGCTATGCTGACATACTTAAGGCTCCTCTCACTTGTGTGCCATTTACTGTGTTTGTAAAGGCACCCAGTTAAGCCCCAGGAGCACTGCTGGCAATTGTTTTCAACCTCGTGAGTTTCAATGTGTCGCTTCAGACTTGACATCCGAAGGTAGGTTTTGGGACACTGTTTGCACCTGTGAGGCCCCTCTATCGCTGTGTGTACTCGCATATGAGATGCAAGGCACTTCTCTTGAGAGAAAGCCTTTGCACAGATGGGGCACTTGAAGGACATAATAGCTGCATGCCTCTGAATGTGCGTCACCAGATTCCTGCTCAAAGCAAAGGCTTCAAAGCATTGCTGGCATTTGTAAGGCTTTTCATCGGCCTGCGCTCGAATAAGGCTGCGCGACTGGAAAAGTGCAGGAAACGACGGGGGACAGAGCTCGCATTCCGAAGGCTTTTCAACACTGTAAGCCTGCACATGAGCAAGCAGGTCACTGCTTCCGTGGATTTCTTCTGGGCACAAGTAGCTGCCAAAAGAAGGTTGCTCCTCACAGATTGGCATGCGACGTCCCAAGTCCTGTACATTAGAAAAGGACTCCGGACACTGCTGGCATGCGAGTTCTTGTCCAGTGCTCTGAACCAGGTGGTTGATGATTCCAAGCTGATCTCTCGTGATGTAGGTGCAGAAGCAGCATTTGAAGAGGATTCCTTGAGTGGTTCCCACTGGACCTCCATCACCTACAAAACATAAAATTTGTAGCGTCCATTACAAAACAGAAGAAATTGCCCTTCACGTGACCATAAAAACTAATCCAGCACACATATTTCTCACTCAGGCACAAATCATCTGCAGCAACTTTGGGAACATCTTTAAACTTTTTGTGAAGTACTATTATTAGGCTTACCGAATTCATGTTTAGTTCTAGTAGTTCTTAAAAGCATGATGTTGACTTGTAAGTATAGATCAGATATGTATTCAAAAGTATCTAAATACTGTCCCTCATTACAAAAAACAATGAAAGATGTTTACAACTCTCTGTAATGGCGAATTAGAGCGCAGCTCTTCAAGAGGAGTAGGGAAGAGTATACCCTTCTCACCCCTCCTCCCTCCCCTCCCATTTAGCAGAAAAATTTCCCCGCTAAATTCAGCAGAAAAATTCCCCACTAATTTTAGTGGGGAAATTTTTCCTCCAAATTTAGTGGGAGTATTTCACACTAAATTAAACGAAGAAATTTTCCCGTCAAATTTAGCAGAAAATTTTTTTCCCCCTAAATTTAGTGGAAAAATTTTCCCGCACGATTTAGCGGAAAAATTTCCCGGCTAAATTTAGCAGAAAAAATTCCCTGCTAAATTTAGCGGGGAATTTTTGCCACTGAATTTAGCGGGGAAATCTTTTCGCTAAATATAGCGGGAAATATTTTGCGCTAAGTCTAGCAGGGAATTTTTGCCACTAAATTTAGCGAGAAAATTTTTCCGCTAAATCTAACGAGAAGCTTTTTCCGCTACATCTTGCAGAGAATTTTTTCCGCTAAATTTAGCGGCAAAAATTCCTTCCTCCTTCTCCTGCCTCGTGACGTCACATAAAATGTCATTATGGGAAACGTCCCATATAATGGACGCGCGGTTACGCCGACATCGGCAGCGACGCACTCAAGCCAGAAAATGGCGCCTAAAAGCTGCGCTCTATAAATGAATAAATAAAATAAACGTCTTGCATTACTGGCAAGAAACTCAAATTTTTAAATCAGAGGTAATGCATTACTTTATTTTTACTTCACGTCCAAGAAAGCAGCTACGTTCAATTTAAAAGCTTCAGTGTTTATTATTTAAGGTTTCGTTATGCTAAAGCAGTTCAAAGTTGTCCCTAATGTTTACCTAGTGGACAACTCGTCACTAGGCAACTTAGAGGTGCATTTCATCTCTGGGTTACCAAAACTCCGTCAAGAGCGTGGAAGTCCGGGGAAAAGAAAGTTTCGGTTCTTCATGATAGCAAGGGTTTGAATTCAAACCATCCACAACTCTTTCATGAAAAGCAGCTCTTATTATTTGGATTCCATTTTGCACCTACTTCGAATGAATTAGAATTTTTTTGTTTGGTTTGTTTTATAGAGATAAAGGTTTGAAACCTGTTTTGCCACCCACACTCTTAGCTCTCAGCTTTGGGCTTTCTATCAGCCATGCCTGTGAACAAAATAAACATAAAAAAAAGTGCCGGATTTGATTTGTGTTTTAGAGTTAGTAACTGATGGCTGACAAGCCCGTTCACTTTGCAAGGAAATGGGCTGCTATTTTAACCCAGTCCTTCCCAAAGCCAGCAATCCGCCGGCCGCCGCAACAAAGACCAAAGTGCACAAAGCTGGTGATTTGCCAATCTCCAACAAAATGTTTGTTTTCAAAATATGCCCACAGATGGTGACACTATTAGACATGTGTTTTGGTTAATACTTCTGACACCAGATGGTATTTCGTTTTCTATATTCTTGGGCGCATTTAGGAGTAAAAACAAAAGGAGTTTGAGGTTGTTTTTTTTTACATGAAAATGGCGTCCTGGAAGAAATGCAGTCTCTTAAGTGGTGAAATCATTGATCCTATACATGACAGCGACGAAGACGCTGTCATATAAAATTCAGTTATCATCATGAACATCAGTAGCTGATTATTCAATTCAGAAGCACTCGTCCCTGGGGCCGAGTGTTTCTTGGAAAGGTGTGTCCTGGTCGCAGATGTATTTAAAAACCTTGAGTGACGTCTTGCCCTGGAGGAGTGTTTTCCCCTAGCATGTGGGTGCGCTGCGGCGAAGCAAGTTATGCAAAACTTCGAAACCTATTACGAAATTGTTGCTTCACCGCAGCACACCACTGCACGGTGATAAGTGCACTCAACGATGGTAGATATCCACCTAGAACAGACGAGCATGAAAATTATTGCAAAACTTCCGAGTACATGCAATGTTTGATAAAGAGATCACATCGAATATCCGTTTTCTCGGTGATAATCGAAAGTTTTGGCAATTCGCACAAGCCCACTGTAGTAATCAAGGCGTGTAGCGAGGCCCAATTTATTATATTTTCGACATTAATAAAGCAAAAATAAGTTTTGGCACAATGTTGGCACAAAGTCCTCCCATTTTGTAGAAATATAGTAGAGTTTAGCAGGGCAAGTGTTTTGGCGAAAGTGGCACAGCAATCACATCGCTGGGATTACTTTCAATCAGGACGGAGACCTCCTAGCACAAAAGTTTTGGCAAAAGAGCATTTTAAAGAATGGAAACCACCGTTTATGAGGTAGCTTTAGAAGGATGAAACGCCTGGCAATGGGGATGCCCATGTTTTATCGATAACAATCACATCACTGATTGAGACGTTTTTTCCAGTATGTTTGAGCATTTTTAACTAGTATAAGTGAAATTGCATTGAAGGACAACTCCGCTCAATTCCGAAGATTTCGGGATAATGAGTGATTTCGAATTAAAAAGCCCTAGTAAAAGACACTACGTCGTTTGCTTTACGAAAAATGGGATATATATTTTTAAATCTAATTTTAAACACGTGCGGAAATCGAAACCGAAACTTCGCCTCCGTCCGGCAACATTGGCCTCGGGCCGCCAAGAACATGGCCATCACGTGGTACGAAATGTCACGTGATCCTTGGCCCAACGACGGGCGGGATTGGGGCGGGCATGTCGCAGGCGTGAATGTTGTCTGCACCGCACTCTTCGCCACGTTTTGGTGTCTATGACATTCGACGACGTCTGCACAACTGCAGCATAAGTCTGCACACGTGGTGTCTGTAGTGTGGATGAAACTCCGAGAGACAATAATCACAAACGGTGAGACGACGACGGTGGTTGTGACGCGGAAGACGGCGGTAACGGCGGGACCACGGCGGGCAGCCGGACTGCTCCCAAGAAGCGCGCTGCGCAAGCGAATCACATAGACCCCGCTGAGCGCCGAGAGGCAACGTTGCTGACGTCATGTGCTACGCTCGCCCGAAGAAGTAAAAACAAGCAAAAGGTGGCCATGATGATGACGTTTAGCTCAATGCTGGCTCCGCCCATGCCATAGCCTTGACTGCGCTGTTGGTTGCGCCCCAATTCGCCCGCTTGAGTCAGCCGATTTCGGCAACTTGGAGAGTTGCGGAGTTTGCCGGTCCGTTTAAGAAACATTTAGACAGAACTGCGTCGTAATATTTGACGTTTTGTCTTCCTAGGCGATACTGAAGAGGACTCCATTGTTTTTTTCAAAACCAAAAATGAAATGGAGTTGCCCTTTAAGAAAAGAAAATGTAGACATTATTGCATGAACATCCACAGCATCTCAATCCAGTTGCATTTAGCCAGGGGTGGGCAGTATTTCAAATACAAGTATTTGAAACACGTATTTTAAATACTTTGTGTATTTTGCATTTGTATTTAATTACAAATTGGGTAATGTATTTAACGTGTGTATTTAAATACTAAAACGAGGGTATTTCAAATACAATTGTAATTAAATACAATTTTGTTGGCGAAAATACATCCCTCAAGATTATTGTCACTGTCTAGAGCAGGAAGAAAACTACGTTCTGCACCGAATGCAGTGTCTCTCAATCAAGCACAAGTGTTTAGTCGGTGCTAGTCCAGGGCAAGAATAGTGACGAAATCGACGTTCCCAGACAGAGTGGCTAAATAAGTGCCTGTGACAACTTGTGATGCTTTCCAGCCTGATTTCCATCCATATTTTTGGCTGGAAAATTCTAAATGCGCGGGTCGTCCAGATTTTCGTAACTGGGGCGAGTTGAAAAATAAAAAAAACTCTTTAGCTAGTGCTGCGCGTCTTGGTCTTCTCGGTTCTTTGTTGATCTATACCAAAATGTAATCGACAAAAAAAGCTGCTTGAAGCTCTGTACTTTTTTCACCTATTACGTCCAAGCTGATTACATTTTTTTTTTGTGATTATATTTCTGTTAAGTTACTAGAGCCTCGCACACTAACTCCCGAGTGTGCGATGCAAAATTAAAATGGGATACCCAGAAACCCGTTGCAGGTGCCCTGAAGTCGCTGACGCAAATTTTGAGGAATGTATTTGGAAAAGTATTTGGAGGAGACCAAATACATTTGGTTGTATTTGTATCTTGTACTTAAATGCTTTTTTGGAAATGTAGTTAGATTTGTAATTAAATACATTTTTGACAAATATTTTGTATTTGTATTTTAATACATATTTGCATGTATTTTGCCCATCCCTGCATTTAGCTTATTGAATTGGCATATCATGAGTCAACTGATTAATGAGTTAAGCACATTAAAACAAATAATCTCCGTTTCATGATAAGGAAGCGGAGGGGAGGGGGGCGGGATCAAATCTAAGAGAAAAGTTGCACAGTGAAAAGTTGCACAATGTTTTCCCGACTCTAAGTTGCACCTCTATGTATGGTTCACGCTACGATTCTCTTTTTTACTTTTTTTACGTGCATCGGTATTGCGAAATTAGAGAGACTGGCAACAGCTGTGATGTTTCGACTTGTGAGAAATGCCCACAGTACGGCGCTGTCTGGAGGGGGCAATCGAGTGTTTCACAGCGAAAGGACAAAAAACATGCAAAATGAGAAGGCTTTATTCGAGCGTACAAATGCTGAACAAACAAAAGTTTAGAAAGTAAACATAATGCCGCGCGCCAAGTAGGCAGCGCGGCCGTAGCCTAACGGTTATCGCGCTTGCCTCCCACGCGAATGGCCAGGGTTCGATTCCTGGCCGTGGCTACGCATTTTTGTTTACACTGTAATGTGATGTTCTAGTGAATTCGAGAACCGTCTAGCTGATTCGAGGTTGGAATGTTCTACGCGTCGAACCTTCTACATCGAATGCTCCAGAAGCCAACGCGTGTACAAAAGCGGCTCCGCCTGGCAAGCAGGAGTCAGTTTCGCCCCAGCGCTCGACTCTGCTGTCTCGCCGACTTCGACGCCCGCGACGCTCTGTAATTATCTTTTGTACCCTTTTATTTTTGGCACAAGTTCGCCACATTAAACATTTATTTCTTCCTTTTTATTTCCTGTTTTTTTTGGTCACCACCCGTGACAATATTTAGCAGAAATCTGCCTGGTTGAATGAGAATTGAAGTCTGAAAAATACCACTCTAACCAAATCTCGAAAGGAAACCCGACGCTTCAAAACCAACTCGGTTTCTCCTTCAAGGGTGACTGATAGCATGCGGAACAACAGCAAATCCTAACCTCTTCGTCTTAAAAAAAAAAAAAAAATTTGAAAAAATTAATTAAAAAAGATATACTTTTTTTTTGTTATGGAGATGGTCATCTCTTCAGCTTTCTCATCAGGTCATAGAGGCCATGAGCGTACACAGAGGGCAATGCGCCCAGGGACCTGCTTAGGTTTCCTGGCGCATGCTGGATTTGCCACGATTCCAAGAAAAGTCTTCTTCGGATGTTTGTCTCTGTGTCAACCACATGCGCATTCGCGAAGTCAATGCAATTGTCTAGGGTATCACAATGTTCGGCGATGGCACTGCGCTCACAGTCAAACTTCCAGACGTCATTCTTGTGTTGGCGGATTTGGGGAAAGTTCTTGGTCTCGCCAATGTAGGTTGAGGGGCACTCTGCGCATGGAATGGTATAAGCCACATCCTGTGCTTTTTCCTTTGGTAGACAATCCTTCGGTCTTGGCATGAACCTTCCCAGTGTAAACGCAGGCTTGTGGGCCACCAGAAAGTTTAGTGTGCCATAGACTTGTGTATCGAGCTTTGGTCCAGTAGGCACAGCCTAGGCCAAGCCAAGGAGACGACACAAGCATCAATGCACAAGCAGAAAAAAAAAAAAGGAATGACGATATGTTAGTCTAGGTGGCGCAAGCTGCCGCCCGTTACAAAGGGTATAGGACCTTTCCAGCAGCAGTCTCGAACGAAGCGATTTACAGCGCGTGTCCCTGATTTTGAGAATGTACGTCAGTGTTGCCCGACTGCGCTGATCTGTGGAGTTTCTCGTCAGTGGGCTGTGGCAGCCTGCGTTGGCGCAATTCCGGACGCTGGTGGCGACTGAATTGCCACGTTTTCTTTTTTATCTTGTGTTCTGTGGCGAGCATAATATATAGAGGTATTTAAGAAAGCAGTGCTCTATTTTTGGAACAAAAACAAAGAAATGAAAGCTGTTTCGGTGAGTCCGTGCGCGACAGAACAAATGCAACTGGAATGTTTGATGTTTGTTTCATTTTATGTTCATTGTTTTACGGCACCGTACACTCAACTGAGTCAATCTACAAAGGTCAAAATATTTGACAACACAGGATATCCATACTGCATGGATATTTCCCGCCCACAACATAAAATTCAACGAGTCTCATCAATCGAACAAAAAAATATATTGTATGTGCCCCACGGTGCCGCGTTCGAACAGGATTTAAAAAAAGTCTAAAATAACACAGCATATCCAATATACAGTGTCGACGATAGTCACTTCACGACGATCAGACGGAATCCGGCGTGTTTTGGGGAACATGTAGAAGAGAGCTTCTTTTTTGCACAGCTTCATAGCAAATGAACGAACGTGCTTATTCCGTCCCCTCCCCCCTCCCCTCAAGAAATACCTGCGTCCGCCCATGAACAGGACTCAGTTTATAATTCACCTGGAAGGGACACAGCAGGAATATATGTATAGGCATGTTTCTGACAGGCTATACATATAGGCTGTCAGAAATTGTCCCCATCTGATCTATACGTAGAGGCTGTCGGAAATTGTCCCCATCTGGTACTACTGTGGATGCCGCTCTCACTGCGCTTTCAATACATGTGGGAAGTAACGAAGGATGCGCAAGAACAGAGAAATTTGAGGCGCCGCAGTCAAAATCGTTAGACGAGGTAGACGAAAGCAACTTACCAGCACGATTGCACGGCGGTTTTTTTTTCCTCGCACGAATCGGCGTCCCATCGAGGTACAATGTTGGGTAGGCCCCCTTTCTCAGTCGAGGCCTCTGCTTCTTCTCAATGTCGCGGTCTTCAAAATGCCTCGAGCACACTACGTGAAAATCCGTCGGCAACCAGTTGGCCCTGTTGATCTGCTCTATCCACTTTTGTCTAAGTTCAATTCTTTTTGGAAACTTGAACAACGACAGACCGTAATACATGGACCCACTGCATCCGTCGACGCAGCACATCTTCATCTTCCCCGGTAAGAAGTGCCCTTAGGGCAACCCCTGATCGTTGTTTCTCGACCAAGAACCTAAGAACTAACGGTGCTAACGAGGCCGTCTGGGTACTAGAATTGCTGGAATTAACACGAACACACAGCCGAGGCGACGAAACTGGCCGAAATATGTTTACCCTCTAAGGAAAGTGACGTCATTGCTGTCGCGTGCAGAGCTGGCAATTGAAAGCTGGTCGCGTGATCGTGCACGTCACATGTCACGTGCACCGTAAGGATGTGCTCCGTTTGCCTCAGCCGCTCCAGGCGCTCCAGCTGCATATTCGGTCACGTGTCAACCAGGAACCTTTTGCGTTGAAGAAACGAATGCACTCCACGCGCGGTCAGCGCGGCCAATCAGCGCTCTCAAGTGAAGTCACAAGGCATTCACAGGTTCACATAAGCGCATACGCGTCCGGCTTGCAGTCGTAACTAGTGTGTGGTGGTGTTGGCTTTTTCAGCAGTCCGTGTTCTTTACCGCAGTTCGTCGAATCTGCTCAAAATGGGAAAACTTCTGCAAACGGCGGTGTGCATTAACTTCATGAAGCTTCTGCTCATGACATTCAACGTAATATTTGGTGTAAGTACGGACGTACATCGTTCCTACCACAAATGCGCGGATAGTAACTCCGTTTGAGCGGTCCTGGATGCGTTTGTTGACTAGTTGTTGCTTGTTTTATACCCGATGCCGTGTTCACCTCGTTTACGGACTGGCGTCCCCTTTCGATCGTCTATAATGCCTCGCGATCTGTCTATGTCGATTTCCGATTCGCGAGTGCGTGCTCGGTTGTGCTAAATCAATAGCGAGGCTGTTGCTTCCTTCGGTTTTACGATGTCTGGCGAGAGTTGGTCGTGGTCCGGCGTAGCACACTTCACCGCACAAAATGTCGCATATTTAGAGTCCGGCTCGTTTCGGAACACATCGGTTATGAGAACGATCGCGCGATGACAAGGCCCTGGGCCTGTCTCAGTACAACGAAATGAAAGGAAAGACCGTGTTTTGAAGCAAGGGCTAGAGCGACATAGTGAAAGCCGATCGTGGATCAAAGATTCCTTCTAATAAACGAAATTAATAAAACTAATAAACCCCGAGACTTTACGACGACTTCCTTTTATTGTAGCTGAGGCTGTGTTGTGTCCGTCTAACTACGTCTCGAATCCTTCGCATCGCTGCCGAATCTCGGACTGTGTGCTTCCTTTTCTGCCTTCCGTTGGTCAGGGAACTGGTTTTGGCGACACGTCAACCGAGCTAACAAAACGCTACTGACGTGCGGGCAGGGATCACCCTTGCCTGAAACAGAAGCGAACTTGAGTGTTGCTTTTCGTTGTGTTGTTTATTTCTTTCTGCATTCGCGGAAGCGTTCCGCTAGCCCATATAGAGGGTTCGCTGTGCTCTCATGTGTGACCAGAATTGCCGAAACAGCTGAAACGAATAGCCTGTGGCCGCCTCGGCCTGTTTCCTTTGCGGCCATATGGTCGGGAATTTACGAGCGCCCCCGTGGCTCCGCTATCTCGCGTTACAGCCTCGAACGCCGTTCGGTGAAAAGCCGCGACGTATGGTCCGACGTTGTCGATATCAGCGTCGTAAACGGGAAATATCTTCGTTGCGGTTGCTTTTGGCTGTGCTAAGCTAGAGCATTATATGCGGAGCGCAAATTCGTCTGCTCCTTTTGCAACGGTTGCGGTGACGTCAGGACGCCGATCACTGATTGGCTCTGAATGAAGGATAATGGGTAAACCTCAAGGCAGGCTTTGCTTTGAGGTCTACCCACTATCCTTCAGTCAGAGCCAATCAGAGCTTGGCGTTCTGATGTCACCGCAGCCCCTGCAAAAGGAGCAGACAAACTTGCGCTCTGCATAGCTCCTTCGGAGCAGAGTAGTGCACTGATATCTTTTGTAGTAGGCTGGATTGCGGATCGGGAGCCCGTCGGTGGCACCACCGGCGGTCACTACTTGACACCGGACAATACACATAAGTCTATGGTACAAACAAACAAAAGTAGGAATATTGAAGCTTTTATGCCGTGCTCGAAGGCGAGTGTTCTGTGATGTGCTGCGATCATTATGTCGGGTGTTTGCAGATTGAATCGGTATTTTTCTAGCAGTCATACGCCGATTAAGAAAATCAAACGTGCCGGAGCACCCTTGGCTGAGCTGGCAAGCTTGGTCTTGTAATGGAGTAAATGGTGGAACTTGCCGTCAATAAGACCATGTTCGGGGAAGCCCAGAAGTTGATGTATGTCACAGCCTTTAAGCTTGTCGTCTGCTAAACCAACTCTTCGAAACCGCCACAGACTCCACGGTAACTCTAGCTGACTCTGTCTCATTGAGCTGCACTACATTTTTCGCCCAGCAGAGTCACTCTCGAACACAAAACATTAATTTATAAGAACTGTAAAGGCTCTCAGTTTTAATGTTTGTGCACAAGCTATTTGGCTGGCTTCCTGAACAGCAGCCAAAAAGTTTCAGTGCCCACAACATCTTAGAAGGGGGGAAATGACACTTTTTCTCGTTTTTTTCATAGAGTCGCATGCATTAGCTAATGTCAAATGATGGCTTCCGGTGGTGCCACAGGACCCTAGCAAGACAAGCCTCAATCCACGATCCAGCCTACTACAATAGAGATCAGTGGAGTAGCGCGATCTAAAACGCGATCTCTTGACGACTAGCGGCAAACGCCCGGGGTTTCTAACTCTGGTCACAAATGCATGGGGAACGTGAGAAAATCATTGTTTCTTAAATATTTTGGGGATGTTTGGAACGACAATAGTTTGACATAATAGAGGAACAGTTTACAATAATCTTCGCTAAGTTGTGTGCCATGTAAGAATGTAATTTTTGAAAAAAATTGCCTGAGCGGCATTAGGCAGCAGACGACGCGGCGACGTCACACTGTTCACCCATTCCGGCCAACCCGTAAAGTCCATCTCCGCTGCGTAAAACAATTGTGTGCTTCAAACGCCATTGCCTTGGAAATTGCCTTCTCAACATTTCACACGCATTCAATATTATGAAAACTCCGATAAAGCGTTTAGTGCTTTACCAACTTCACGACAGACTAGTTTTCAAAAGTGTGAACTCTGCATTTATTTTTTTATCAGCCGTGTTGCGTCGATCTTCATGTGTTTTCCTATAGGGCGGGCACCTCCTGGAACCCTGAGTTCTACGTGACTCGCGCCGAGCTACTCTGTTGGCCATGTTGTCGGCAAAATATGCGGATCAAAAGATTGCGTTACTCTGCTCCGTAGGAGCTATATAGTGCTCTATGCTAATCGGCCGATGGAGCCGGAACAATGCTGAAATCCCGAACAAAAGAGGCACCAGACTTCTCATGGATCAGGACGAAGGCTCACTGCTTTTATTCGTGAACCCAAACAAAAGCCCATCTGAATATTTTTTTTTTTTTAACAGAGCTCAAATAATGTTAAAACTGCCCCTCCCCCCCCCCCCTATAGCTTAACTAATGCAAAAATATTAATGACTTGCAAAAGTTTAAAGATCAGTATACTTGTAGTAGGTTGGTAATCGAGTTTTATTGGCCACTCATGGCTACAGCTCATGCCTGAGAGAGAAAAAGGGACTGTCATTATGTATGAGAACACAAAGGGAATTAATCGGGTCTCTCGATACTCGCATCGTATGACCAAGCATACTCTGCTAGAAAGTGCAGACTCTGATCCAATAAAAACGTGTTGTGATAAAAAATGGTTATCATGTACTTGCATAAAGATTTCTAGTGATCGCTCCTCATCCAAGGAGTGATCACTGCAGCAGCTCAGAGAGACAAGTGTCAGCTTGCGCGACACTCGTCTCGGAGTTGCTGTGTCGGAATGCTAGGCTTACTCTGAAGGATGCTTGGACTCTGCCACGTCAGTCAGAAGATGCTGGCATAGAGAGAGCGTCTGCTCAAACAAGCCAGGATGGCTCCCATGCGGTCCATATCGACGCAGCGAAAAGAGTTTTCTCCCGCCGTGAAGTGACTAGTTATCTCTGCCGCTCCCTACCACCGTAATCCTTGTTGCATATATACGTAGCTTTCTTTTTCTTTTTTTCTCTTAATTTAGATGTTTGCAGGCCACCTTGTATGGGCTTTCAGTCTTTCAGTCTCCCTCGTCTCCCCAGAGCCGACAATGAATGAAATTAAATTAAATTCTTTCTGTCGACGCTCGTATGCTGAGCCAGCTTGTGCATCTGAAGCGAGAACAGACCGCTCACATGACTCGTTGGCCCGCTCATTTCGCGGTCGTGCACCTCATGCGTGTTTGGACTGCCCAGCATGAAACTCGCCGTGCAATTCCTGCAGAAAGATGAGGCACTTCGCCGAGGTATGCCACTTGAGAAAATAAGCGAAACAAACTTAGCACCATAGAGCTGCACGCTGTGGGAGTGCCTGCCATGGCCAAGTTTGTGAACGCTACCATTGAAAACTACACTGCAGAGTTCAAGATGGACTCAGGAGCGGAGATGTCCGCTTTTCCGAGCAACTTTCTTACCATGCCAGCCAAGCTTGACAAGGTTGAAAACCTGCTGACAGGACCCGGAAATCGAATGCTGCACATGTTGGGAGGCTGCAGTGGCGGGGGAAGGCAAGCTTCCAGCAGCTCCATGTCATTGAGTCGCTTTCCGTGCCTCTTCTAAGACTGCGAACAATCGGGGCTCTCCAGGTCGTCCGATTTCCTGGTGGTGTGGAGGCACCCGGGTCAACAATCCACGTCGAATTGTTCTATGGACTTGGTACCCCAGAGGACGTATACACCATTCGCCTGAGGCAGGACGCCATGCCATTTTCACCCGGTGCACCTCGTCGGATTCTTGTCCCGATGCAAGAGGTCTTCCGGCAAGGATGGAAGAAGGGGAGGGGGTGAATCGTCAAGTCCACAAACCAACGCCATGGTGCTCTGGACCTGTCGTTGCCCCGAAGCCTAACTGCGCCTATCGGCTATGCATCGATTTCAGACGGTTCAACCAAGTGGTACTTGAAGAGCGCCATATCCTTCCTACCGTCGAGCAGATCCTTGGTCTTCTGTGTGATGCAGCCGTCTTCTCGAAGTTGGACACAACAGCAAGCTTTCATCAGTTCAGACTGTCTGCTGACTTTCAAGAGACAGAGACATGCTGTCCTTTCGGCCGCCTGTGTTTTTGCTGACTTCCCCTTCGGCATCACCTCTGCCCCAGATTAGTTCCAGAAGGCAATGGCCAGAATTCTTGAATGTCAAGACGGTGTAGTCAACATGATTGAAGGCGTTCTTGTTTTTGGATGCACCGAGAAAAAACACGATGCTCGACTCCAGCGAGTGTTGTCTCGTGTTGCAAAAGCAGGCGTTACATTGATCCAGGACAAGTGCAATCTCAGAGCCTCGGAAGCCCCTTTCCTCTGTGTACTTGTCTTGGCAGAAGGCATCAGGCCTGACCCAGGCAAAGTTGAGGTTACCAAGACAATGGAACCTCCCCAGGACATAGCGGGTGTCGGGCGTCTCCTTGGCATGGTTAATTCGTGCCAAGTTATCCATGCCATCTCGCCAGGTTCCTCCCAAGAAGAGTGGTTGTTTGGGCGAGTTGGTTTGACATCTTATACAATCT